GGTGCTGCCGCTGGTGCTGGTGCGCGATTTCATGCGCGTACGCGCGTGCGGTATCTGGTGAGCACTGTTGCTGGTTGGTGTGCCACTCGTTTTGTACTGAGGGATGGAGACAGCCGCGCAAGTTGTGGCTCTGTGAAGTGGATAAGAGGCAGCCCTATTGCACACCACCAACATAGGTACCATATTTGTCTTGTCTCCTTGTTTATCTTGTTTTGATGTATGTGTCTTTAGTTTAAGAATGTGTCTTTTGATTTTGTGTCTTTAGGAGTGTGTCAATAATAAGTAAAAACAGTGTATCGTTCTGTGAAGTGGATAAGCGGCAGTCCTATTGCACTCCACTATCATAGGTACCATGTTTGCTTTTTTTTGTTTTCCTCGTTTTTATGTATGTGTCTTTGGTTTAGAAATGTGTCATTAGAGTGGTTGTCTTTAGGCGTGTGCCAAGAATATGCAAAAACCTGAGAAGTGGATAAGTGGCAGCCCTATTTAACACCAACATACGTACCATATTTTTTGTTCTGGTTTTTCTCATTTTGATGTATGTGTCTTTAGTATAAGTATGTGTCTTTTCATTGCGTGTCTTTAGGAGTGTGTCAACAATAAGTAAAAACAGAGTATTATTCCGTGGGAAAGACAAGCGGCAGCCCTCTTGTGAACCAACATAAGCACCATATTTGTATTTTTGTTTTCTGATTTTGATATATGTGACTTTAGTTTAAAGTATGTGTCATTAATTACGTGTCTTTAAGATTGAATCAATATAAGCAAAAACTAGTACGTGTATACCTCTCCGGGAAGGATGGCTGAGTGGATAAGCGGTAGGAATGTTGTGAAATAAATAAGTACCATATATTTGTTTCTAGTTTTCTGATTTTGATCTATGTGTTTTTTTGGTATAAGTTTGTTTCTTTAATTACCTGTTGTTAAGATTTTGTCTATAACAGGCAAAACCAGTATATTATATTATCCTGTGTGGTGGATAAGAGGTAGCTCTACTGCGAATCAACATAAGTACCGTATTTTTTTCTTGTTATTCTTATTTTGATGTATGTGTCTATAGTTTAAATATGTGTCTTTAATTATGGATCTTTAAGATTGTGTCAGTAATGAGCAATATCTGTGGGGGTGGATAAGCTGCAACCCTAATACGAACCAACATAGGTACCATCATATTCTTTAATCTTCTTTGTTCATTTTGGTGAGCGTGAATTTAGACAAGTACGTGTTGTTAGGAACGATGGTGTCAATAATAATCAGTGGGTGGTTGGCGGGTGCTCTGGTGTGGTTTGCTCCTTCTTTCCTATAGAACAACTATCGTCTTTATCTCTCCTCCTTTTTTATGTTTGTTGCTCTCTTGTTACACCTCTAATCTTCGGCACTTATATGACCTTATTGTGTTACAAGTGCCGTAAAACACTTACTAAAAAAATAAAATAATAATCAGCAAAAATCAGTATATCCCACGGGAGAGGTGGCGGGGTGGATATACAGGAATCATAGTGCAAATCAACACAGGTGTCATATTTATTTTAGACCTCCTTCTTTTTCTTCTCTTCAGATTTTTATGTGTCGTTTGATAAAGTATGTGTCGCTAAGTAACTACCATTTATAGTGTTACTAAGATTGATCATTGTCATGCTCATACTGTGCCGGAACAACATATAAGGGAGGACTGCTACTTTTTCTTTCCTCATCCTTCGTCATTTTTCTTCTACTTCTTTTGCATGTTTGTCACTCTCTTGTGACCCGCTTTTTCCGGGGTGCCTTGACAGTCGAAGCAGACTTTGTGCTGTTGAAGCTAGAGAGATGTCCAGTAAGTCTGATTCCCTGTAAGGACTTCTCTGTTGACATTCACTCCTCTGCGCTCATATGACCTTATGCAGTTGCGAGCGCAGTAAAGCCTTACTAAAACAAACAAAAACAAACATAGACAGAATTTAGGTAATTTAGGAGGCGGGCTGCTTCGACCAGTCCTGTCAGGGGGTCATTCTGGGCTGTCAGGAATACATCTTCCCAGCAGACAGACAGAGATACTCGATATAATTCGATAAACATTGCCCCCACACGGGAATCGAACTCAAGTCTTCTGCATGCGACTGCAGATTGTCCTTGTTAGAGGTGGCCATTGCAGCAGGTTGGACGGTATCTTTAGAATAGAAAATCTGTTTTACAGTAGTGCAGTGTTAATAGTTACATGTAATAATCATAATAATGACAATGTACTACTACTACTACTCCTCCTCCTCCTCCTCCTCCTCCTCCTACTACTACTAATACTACTACTACTATTACTACTACTGCTACTACTACTACTACTACTACTACTACTACTACTACTACTACTACTACTACT